CAAGACGGCTCCAAGATGGCCTCCAAGATGGCCAAGATGGCCCAAGATGGCCTCCAAGATGGTCCAAGATGGCCTCCAAGTCCGCCCAAGATGGTCCAAGGCAGCCTCCAAGACGGCCCAAGAGAGTCCAAGAGGGCCCAAGACGGCCCAAGAGGCCCCCCAGAGCCCTCCCAGACGGCCCAAGAGGCCTCCAAGAGGTCCTCCAGGAAGGCCCGACGAGACCAAAATCATTGTTTTTCTTCAGGTGTTTGAAGGATTTGGGCATTTGCGCCGTTTCGGCTTTCCGACGGCCCAAGAGGCCCCCAAGGTCGCCCCGAGATCGCACAAGAGGCCTCCAAGATGGCCCCGTGACGGCCCAAGAGGCCCCTCAAGACGGCCCCAAGAGGGCCCGAAGACGGCCCAAGAGGCCTCCAAGACACCCAAGATGGCCTCTAAGACGACCCTGGAGCACCCCAGGAGGGCGCCAAGTCGGCCCAGAAAGACCCCCCAAACGGCTTCCGACGGCGTCAGACGGGCCAGGAGCCCACCAAGATGGCCGAAGGTGGCTCGCAGCTGGCCCAAGACGGCCCAAGAGGCCTCCAAGAGGGCCTCCAGGAAGGCCAAAAAATGCCAAAAAGAGTGATTGTCTGTAGGTTGTTGAAGGATTTTGACATTTGCTTCGTTTCGGCCTTCCGACGGCCCGATACGGCCCAAGAGCCCCCAAAATTCGCCCAAGGATCGCCCAAGAAACCTCCAAGATGGCCCCAGAACGGCCCAAAAGGCGCCCAAGACGGCCACAAGAGGCCCCCAAGACGGCCGAAGAGGCCTCCAAGACGCTCAAGATGGCCTCCAAGACGGCCCACGAGCCCTCCAAGACGTCCTCCAAGAAGGCCCGAAAGGGTCAAAATGGCCTCCAGGCGGCCAAGATGACCTTCAAGATGCCCACGTGTTCCCCGAAGGCTTTCCAAACCGATTCGGGGAACACATGGTCCGATAGCTTTGCAGGTCTGGCCTCAACGTTCGGCCACATAGGCGCTTCCACTAAGGCAGGGGGCGGCGGTGATTCGCCGTAGGCGTCTTTGATCCGCCGACCCCTGTTGGCTTGCCACAGGGGTGCCTGGCGTGCTAGAGGCCACTAACGCGGCCCAAGACGGCCCTGAAGAGGCCTCCAAGACGGCCCAAGAGGCCTCCAAGAAGGCCTCCAGGAAGGCCCGCAGAGGCCAACATCATTAACTTTCCTTCAATGTTTGAAAGATCTTGGTATGTGCTTCTTTTCGGCCTTCCGACGGCCCGAGACGGCCCAAGAGCCCCCAAAAGATCGCCCCAAGATCGCCCAAGAGGCCTCCAAAATGACCCCAGAACGGTCCAATGGGCCCCCAAGACGGCCCCAAGGAGCCCCAAGACGGCCCAATAGAGCTCCAAGATGCTCACGATGGCCTCCGAGACGGCCCTGGAGCATGGCCCAAGAAGGCGCCAAGATGGCCCAAGACGGCCCAAGAGGCCCCGAAGAGGCCTCCAGGACGGCCCCATAGGCCTCCAAGAGGCCAACATCATTGATTGTCCTTCGATGTTTGAAGGATCTTAGCATTTGCTTCTTTTCGGCCTTCCGACGGCCCGCGACGGCGCAAGAGCCCCCAAAGATCGCCCCCGAGATATCCCAAGAGGCCTCCAGGATGGCCCTAGAACGGCCCAAGACGCCCCCAAGACGGCCCCGAGAGGGCCCCAACACGGCCCGAGAGGCCTCCAAGATGCCCTAGATGGCCTCCAAGACGGTCCTGGAACACCCCAAGAGGGCCCCAAGTCGGCCCAGGGAGGCCCCTGGAACGGTTCCCGACGGCGTCAGACGGGCCAGGAGCCCGACAAGCCGGCCCAAAAAGGCTCCAAGATGGCCCAGGACGGCCCACGAGGCCCCGAAAAGGCGGACAAGACGGCCCCATGGGCCTCCAAGAGAACGTTCAGGAAGGCCCGAAGAGGCCAACATCACTGATTGTCCTTCGATGTTTGTTGGATATTGGTCTGTGCTTCTTTTCGGCCTTCCGACGGCCCGAGACGGCCCAAGAGCCCACAAAGATCGCCCCGAGATCGCCCAAGAACGGCCCAAGACGCCCCCAAGACAGCCTCAAGAGGGTCCCAAGGCGGCCCACGAGGCCTCCAAGATGCCAACGATGGCCTCCATGACGGCCCTGGAGCACCCCAAAAAGGGCCCCAAGTCGGCCCAGAGAGGCCCCCAAGACAGCTTCAGACGGCGTCAGACTGGCCAGGAACGCCCTAAGATTGCCAAAGAGGCCGCCGAGATGCCCCAAAACGGCCCCCCCAGAGGCCCAATGAGGCCTCCAAGATGCCTCCAAGATGCTCCCAGGAAGCTCCCAGGAGGCCCCCACAGTGCCCCGAGAGGCTCCCAAGATGCCCTCTCCTCCTGCTCCTCCTCCTCCTCCTCCTCCTCCTCCTCCTCCTCCTCCTCCCTCCTCCTCCTCCTCCTCCTCCTCCTCCTCCTCCTCCTCCTCCTCCTCCTCCTCCTCCTCCTCCTCCTCCTCCTCCTCCTCCTCGTCCTCCTCGTCCTCCTCGTCCTCCTCCCTCCTCCTCCTCCTCCTCCTCCTCCTCCTCCTCCCAGTCCCTCAAGTCACGGCGCCCCGAGTGGCCCCCGCAACGCCGCTCGGCCGTCGTCCCGGGGGGCTACTGTGGGGAGGTGCACCGCCCCTGCCGCTCGAGGTCCAGGTGCTCCTGGCAACGCCGGGTTGGATTTGTTAGCCTCTCTTCAGGTACTTGCCGCTGCAGCTCATGTTCCTCGTGGCTTCCTCGTGGTGCGAGGCAGGACCTCTTGGTGGACGGGCTGCTGGGCGTGCTGGTGGTCCATGTGGGCATGGGGTCCGCTACGGTGGAGGCAGCTTGTACTTGTTTGCGGGCCCCGGCGCTTTCCACTGGTTGTCATTGTGCAGTCGATTTCTGGTGGGATGGGGCTCAGGCATGTTTGATGTTGGGCTCGAGGGATGAGCCGATTGGCTAGCATTCCCCTCGCCCTCGGGCCTGGCGTGCCCTCAGTACGTGTTGGTGCAGTGTTCGGCAGCGTACTGCACGTGGTGGGTTTTATATTGTTCTTCTCTGGCTGGTGGTTGAAAGTAGCGTGCAGCTCGCCACATATTTTGTGAGTATTGCTGGAGGTGGCACAATGTATCACTTCACTGCGGGTCACTACTACTGCCGGGTTTCTTCATCATTGCCTTCTTTTGTGTTTGTCTTCTCACTGAGAACAGTTGTTCATCATGTCTTACCACGGTTTGTACTCGTGGGCCACATCGCGTGGGTGTGGCATGCCTTACGCGTCTTGGAGTACGCGGCCTCATGGTGATCGGTGTGGCGGTCATGGCAAGCAGGCTTTGGTGCAGCATTTCGGCATTGTGTGTTTTTCGTTGTGTGCTATTTTTTCAGTGTCTTCTCTGGCTGGTGGTTGAAAGAAGCATGCAGCTCCCCACTGTCCTGGGGATATCGCTGGAGGGGCGTTGTTATGTCGTCACTGCGGGTTGCATCGTGTCGGTGTGTTTGCTCGTTGTCTTCTACGCCATCATCTTCTACCCGTCCATGGAGGTGTAGGGTGTTAGGTCGGCCCTGTATCTGGGCTGACCGCGTAGGGCTGTGCATGCACACAGGCTTCCCATGTCATCGAATCGAATCCTCCTCCTCCTCCTCCTCCTCCTCCTCCTCCTCCTCCTCCTCCTCCTCCTCCTGCTGATCTTCCCCGCAATTCTCCCCCCAAGTGTTCCTCGAATTTTTTACACAACGGTTTGGGGAACACATGGTCCGATAGATTGGCAGAGCTCTTGCCACAACGCCCGGCCACATGGGCGATTCCAAAAGGCAGGGGGCGGAGGTGATTCGCCGTAGGCGCCTTCGATCCGCCGCCCCCTGTTGGCTTGCCACAGGGGTGCCTGGCGTGCCAAACCCTATACGGCTTTTTTTTTGTTCGGTTCATTGCGCCGGCCATCTGGAAAGCCGCTGAAAAAGTGTCCATCGGTCTTCTCCTCCAAGATGGCCCCAAGATGGCCTCCAAGACGGCCAAGACGGCCCAAAATGGCCTCCAAGTTCGCCCGATATGGTCCAAGATGGCCTCCAAGACGGCCCAAGAGGATCCCAGATGCCTCCAAAGTCGCTCAAGAAGCCACCCAGACGGCCCAAGATGGCTCCAAGAGGCCCCCAAGAGGCCTCCAAGACGGCCCAAGTGGCCTCCAAGAGGTCCTCCAAGAGGGCCCGCAGAGGCCAACATCACTGATTTTCCGTGAAGGATTTCGGCATTTACTTCTTTTCTGCCTTCCAACTCCCCAATACTTCCCAAGAGGCCCCCAAGATCGCCCCGAGGTGGCCCCAGAGGCCTCCGAGATGGCCCCTGGACGGCCCAAGAGGCGCCCAAGACGGCCCCAAGAGGGACCCAAGACGGCCCAAGAGGCCTCCAATACGCCCAAGATGACCTCCAAGACGGCCCTGAAGCGCCACAACAGGGTCCCAAGTCGATTCAGAGAGGCATCCAAGAAGGCTTCCGACGGCATCAGACTGGCCAGGAACGCCCGAACACGGCCAAAGCGGCCCCGAACAAGCCTCCAAAGGCTCCCAAGAGGCCCAAGGAGGCCCCCAGGAGGCCTCCAAGAGGCCATCAGAAGCTCCCAGGAGACCCCAAGAGTGCCCCAAGAGGCTTCCAAGAGGCGTCCTCCTCTCCTCTCCTTCTCCTCGTCTTCCTCTTCATCCTCCTGCTCCCTTTTCTTTTTCTCCTCATTCTCCTCTTCCTCACGTGTTCCCAGAAAGGTTTCAACGACAGCTGGGGGAAAACTCCGATAGCTCTAGCCCAACTTTCGGCCACGAAGGCGCTTCCACAAAGGCAGGGTGCAGCGGTGATTCGCAGTAGGCGTCTTCGCTGAAAAAAATGCATGCCTTTCAATCAGATGAGGATGGTCGGTGCCACCAACTTGAGGGCAGCCTTGTCGAGCTCCGCAGCCTGCAAACGACGATCTGGCATACACAATCTCCACCCGCTCCTGTGCTTCCGCCGGTCGGACGACCATACGATACTGGAGGAAGGCGTGACCCCAGAGGGACCCGAAGTTCCAGAGTAGTACGCTCCGTTGACAATGAGGTAGTCTGAGTTGGACTCTGTGTTGAAGGCTTCCACGACGATCGGAGCTGCGTTCGCCTCGTCAATCCCGATCGTGCACATCTCGTTTCCACCGTAATTGCTCGGATGGTTCGGGCTCTGCACGCATGTGCCGTCCAGAGTGCACGGGCCCGAGATGGTCGCCCACATGTGCTGGGAACTGGGCGTCGGTGCAGCGGTCGGCGGGGGAGCTGGCGCAGGAGTCGGCACCACTGGCGGTGCAGGCGTCGATGGAACTGTCGGGGCAGGCGTGGGTGCTGCAGTCGGAGGAGGTGGAGAAGTTGACACTGGCATGCACAATCTCCACCCGCTCCTGTGCTTCCGCCGGTCGGACGACCATACGATACTGGAGGAAGGCGTGACCCCAGAGGGACCCGAAGTTCCAGAGTAGTACGCTCCGTTGACAATGAGGTAGTCTGAGTTGGACTCTGTGTTGAAGGCTTCCACGACGATCGGAGCTGCGTTCGCCTCGTCGATCCCGATCGTGCACATCTCGTTTCCACCGTAATTGCTCGGATGGTTCGGGCTCTGCACGCATGTGCCGTCCAGAGTGCACGGGCCCGAGATGGTTGCCCACATGTGCTGGGAACTGGGCGTCGGTGCAGCGGTCGGCGGGGGAGCTGGCGCAGGAGTCGGCACCACCGGCGGTGCAGGCGTCGATGGACCTGTCGGCGCAGGCGTGGGTGCTGCAGTCGGAGGAGGTGGAGAAGTTGACACTGGCATGCACAATCTCCACCCGACGACCATACGATACTGGAGGAAGGCGTGACCCCAGAGGGACCCGAAGTTCCAGAGTAGTACGCTCCGTTGACAATGAGGTAGTCTGAGTTGGACTCTGTGTTGAAGGCTTCCACGACGATCGGAGCTGCGTTCGCCTCGTCGATCCCGATCGTGCACATCTCGTTTCCACCATAATTGCTCGGATGGTTCGGGCTCTGCACACATGTGCCGTCCAAAGTGCACGGGCCCGAGATGGTTGCCCACATGTGTTGGGGCGTTGGTGCAGCGGTCGGCGGAGGAACCGGCGCAGATGTCGGCGCGAAAGTCGGCGCTGCTGTCGGCGCTGGTGTCGGTGCACCGGTCGGTGCATCGGTCGGTGCAGCTGTTGGTGATGAGGTCGGCGCAGCAGTGGGTGCAGCTGTCGGTGCTGGCGGGGGGGCGGTCGGTGCCTTCGTTGGCGCAGCTGTGGGCATTGCCGTTGGAGAATCAGTCGGTGCAGCTGTTGGAGACGAGGTCGGCGCAGCAGTGGGTGCAGCTGTCGGTGCTGGCGGTGGAGCCGTCGGTGCCCCCGTCGGTGCAGCTGTGGGAGTTGCGGTTGGAGAATTGGTCGGTGCTGCTGTTGGGGATGCGGTCGGCGCAGCAGTGGGCGCAACTGTCGGTGCTGGCGGGGAAGCTGTCGGTGCCCCCGTCGGTGCAGCTGTGGGAGCTGCGGTTGGAGAATCAGTCGGTGCTGCTGTTGGAGACGCTGTCGGCGCAGCAGTGGGTGCAGCTGTCGGTGCTGCTGTCGGTGCAACTGTCGGGGAAGCGGTCGGTGCCTCCGTCGGCGCAGCTGTGGGCACTGCCGTTGGAGAATCAGTGGGCGCTGCTGTTGGGGATGAGGTCGGCGCAGCAGTGGGCGCAGCTGTCGGTGCTGCTGTCGGCGCAACTGTCGGGGAAGCGGTCGGTGCCTCCGTCGGTGCAGTTGGCGCAGCTGTGGGTGCTGCAGTCGGCGAGGGCGACGGTGCAGCTGTTGGGGGCGCGATTGTCGGCGCAGCTGTCGGTGCAGGAGCTGGCGTCGGGGAGGCTGGTCCGCAATTGTCGATGCTGCTGGTGCAAATCTCACCGTTTGTGCACAAAGCGCTGCCGCAATCGCACGGGTAGCTCGCGCTCGACCCTGACCCGTCGAAGACGGAGCACGGATTCGCTGGGAGGGCCATGATCACCAGGTTATTAGTGGGCATGGGGGTCGCGTCATTCGTGACGCAACCAGTGCAGTTCGTGCTCTTCAGGAGGTCCCACCGTTGCGCAGCGGTCATGGATCCCGCCGCTGGATACGCCTCGTACATTCTGGCCGCGAGCCCAGCGACGTGTGGACAAGCCATGGACGTGCCTGTGTTGTAATAGGTGTGGGTGTCGCTGGACGGGCCCGTCGAGAGGATGCTCGTGCCCGGGGCATACACATCGATGCAGGAGCCCCAGTTGCTGTACGAAGACCTGTCCCATGAGGACCCTGACGTCCCGCCAAAGGCTGCTACAGTGATCGCCGACGGGATCCAAGCTGGATTCCAGCTGCACGCGTCTTGGTTAGAGTTCCCCGCAGCCACCACCACGGCCACGCCATCGGCTACCAAATTGTCGATCGAGGTCTGCTCCGCCAGGTCATTGTAATTGGCCTGGATACTGATGCTGACCACCGCTGGCCTGTTCCCAGACGACAAAATCCATTGCTCGGCCAGGATGGACCACGTGGTCCAGCCGGAGCCTGCATCATTCAGGACCTTCATTGCCCAGACGGTCGCGCCATTCGCGACGCCATAGGTCGAAGCCCCCACTGTGCCCGCACAGTGGCTGCCGTGCCCATGGACGTCTGCAGCGCACGTTGTGCTGAGGGGCGCGCACTCTGTGAGAGTGCCCGGGTACTCTCCCGAGGCGGCCACGTCCACTCCTGCGAAAGCGCGACCGCCGAACTCGTTGTGGGTTATGCGAATGCCCGTGTCCAGCACGTACACGTGCACTCCCGCGCCCCGCCCCCGAACCACGTTCGCGCCGACGTACTGGATGCCCCACGGGTAGGTCCGGGAGGCTCGCCCCTCCACGTACACGTCTTCTGCATTGACGGTCTCCATGTCTGGGACCCTTTTCGAAAACTGGTCCTCTTGAACAAACTTCACGCGCCCCTTGTGCCTCGCCAATAGCGCATTGAGAGAATTTTTCGTCATGGTTCCCGCCACGAATGGCATCTCGCCTCTGCCCGGATGGCTGTGCTGCCCGTTGTTGAACTCCTGGCGAAGGCCACCCAGCTCTTCATCTGTAGCGTCGTCCTCCATCACAAGCGCCCAATGGCGCTCCGCCCCTACGTCGACATCCGAAGTGGTGTAGATAGGCACGTCGGACGTGGGCCTCCGAGCATCTGACACTCCGAACAGCGCCACGACTGCGCAAGTGAGTGCTGCTGGGGCGGACGCCCATCCCGTCCGGCAGGTACTAGTAGCTCCCATGGTGCCTCCGTGGGCAAGCTTCCGGCGATCTGGATGCTGCGAGCCCTCGGCAAAACTCGCCCGAAGCAACACTTTTGAGACAGATTGGGTCGACCTGACTCGCCCGAGCCGCAAGGAAGACGGAGATCACTTCTGTGAGCCTGCAGGCTCGGGCGAGCCCCAGCAGCCCCCTGCACCTGGGCGGCGTGCGGCGCTTCACCTGCCAACCCCCGCCCTGTCCCTTCAGGGTCGGGTGCGCCCCTCGCGAGACACCACGCCAGAAGACTTCCCCCCCGCCCGCCTGGCGAAGCCTCCCGGGGGCCTCTTCGGGGCCGCTTGGGGGCCTCTTGGGGGCCTCTCGGCGGCCCTCTGGGGGGGCCGCTTCGGGGCCCCTCGGGGCGCCTCCGGAGGCCCTGTGGGCGCCCCTTTGGGGACGTCTTGGAGCATCCGAGGGCCTCCTGGGGCCATCTTGCCGCCAGCCAGCCTCCTGGGGCCGTCTTGCCTCCTGGGTTGGCTCTGTTTGTCCGGCATCCACGGCGGGTCATGCTGGCCTTTTTCTCGCAAGTTGGAGCGGCCCTCCTGGGGCTCCCCACCTGGGCCCCTTCCGGAGCCTCTCCTGGGCCCCTTCCCTGGAGCCATCTGGAGGCCTCGAGAGCCCACCGGGAGCGAAAACGCGAGAAGGCACAAATTCACGACGTTCCGTCGCCCCTGAACCTGGCTCCTGGAGAGGGAGATTCTGGGCGGGCTGCATGCTCCTCGCCATGGCCGAAAACGGGGATTCGTCGCTACTGGCCGATCTGCCTTCCGCCCGAGCCCACCGCGCGCGCCGGCTCAGTGGCCGCTGGCCGACTGGAGGGGCTGACCCGCCCTCGCGGAGAGGAGGCCCCTCCCCGGGTCTGGACGCACCCCCCCCTCACGCTTGGAGCCAAGGCGGCCTCCAGGCGTGGCCCAAGGACAGCCCAGGAGAGCCCCGAGCGTGGCCTCCACGACGGTGCAAGGCAGCCCGGGACAACCCGCTCGGTGGCGTCCAGCGGGACTCTCCGTGGGAAACCCACGCGACGGGGAGGGAGGGAGGGAGAGGGGAGGGGGGGGCGCTCAGAGAGGGTCTGGGAGGGGGCGGGGAGCGCAGGTTGCGTTTATGTCTTTCTTCGGAGGGGGGGATCCAGAGAACAGAAGCAAATGGCACCAACGCTGCTGGGGCAGTTTTGGCACTGAAGAGCTAACTGTTCGCACTGATCCTGAGCTTCGATTTGGCAGCTGTCACTGTCCCTCCCTGTCTGCGCATCACACTGCATGCTCCTGCACTTCCTGAATCAGAGCAGTCCGCCTGGGAGTCGCATCCGGGAGGCGTTCCTGAGTGGTTTGGTTGGAATGCGCACGAGAAGTGTCGAATACTGGTCGGGCAAGCCCACTCTGACCCCTTCCCCAGCATTGCTCTTTCTGCCGACGCGTGGTCCACCAGCGTTCTGCCACTCAAAGAGGCCACGCCCGCATTGGGCCTTCTGCAAAAAAACTGGAGCGTGCGACTGCGGCATGAATCGAAAGAAACTGTCGAACGCAACTGACAAACCAGAATTACCGCTTCCGACAGATTCCTAGCGACCACCTCCAGAGCCCCGGAGACCTAAAAACATCGCCAGAGGCGACAAAACACAAGCTGCGAGGAAGTGCACCAACACCGCAGACGCGTGGGCGGCAAGCAGGAGCAGAGAGGGAATCTCCTGGCTGGAGCAGGGCAGCCCAAGGCATGCCTGATCAAACACCGCTTGGGTACTTCATGGCACGCGCTATGAAAACAGAATGCACGCGCTGGCACGCCGGCGGGCGGAGCGCGTGCGGCCACGCGGAGGAGGGGCTGCCAGGAGGGGGGGAGGTCGACAGCTCGCTCGCCCGAGAACAAGATGCACGCGCTGTCACGCTGGCGGGCGGAGCACGTGCGGCCACGCAGAGGACGACCACCTACCAGACCACCCCAACCCGACCCGAAGACTCGAATTTCGGATTGGGGGGGAAGGGTCCCATCTGTGTTTTTCAGTCATGTTCCCCGACCCCCCCCCCACACTGGAAATGGAGGGCAAATTGAGGCCTTCGGGTTGGGTTGGGGTGGTTTGGTGGGTGGCGAGAGGAGGGGGTGCCAGGAGGGGAAGGCCTCTGGCCTGCAGTCCTGAAAACAAGATGCGCGCGCTGTCACGCCGGCGGGCGGAGCGCGTGCGAGCACACAGAGGTGGATGGGGGTCAGCAGGGGGAGGAGATCTCGGTTCCGCACGCCGTCGTGTGAGCAGCAGCAGGCGCTCTCAAGCTGTCTTCTTTCCCTCCTCACCCCGCTCGAGCAACGTGGCTCGCTGGCGGAAAGGCAAACTTGCAAAGTGTGCAGCCGAGCTCACTGCTGCTCCCGACCTCCAACTCCACCTCTGAGACGACACCCGCGAATCGCCACAGAAGCCCCTCGGGCACTGGAAACGACCGCCCACGGGACACGACACGCGCTCTCGCGAGACCTGCGCTGCGAGGCCTCCCCTCGACTCCTCGCCGCGCCGACGCGGCGGAGGAGGAGCCAGTCGCTCTGCGAGGCGAGGGAGAAAAACGCACCATCGCTCGCCCACGCGCCCCACTCACGGACGCCTGTACAATGGGGCCCTCCCGAGAGGTGGAGTTCGCGTCTGCCGCATGCCTCGCCCGTAGAGGATCGTAGATGCACGGACAGATCCGCCACCGTGCCCCCGTGGCACGCAGGGGAGGGTCCCGAGGATCCCTGGCGCAGCACCCGGAGCCTCCGTCCTCGGTCCCGCGGGTTCCTGAAAAGGGGCCCGGGCCCTGGGCGTGGCGCGTGGCGCCGCCCTGGGCGTGGCGCGTGCCTCCGGGGCGCGTGGCACCGTCCTGGGCGTGACCCCTTCGGAGCCCACGGGCCCCGAGAGGCCCCCCCGAGACGCTCCACGAGGGCCCCGCATCGCCGCACGATGGGCCCAAGACAGCCCCAGGAAGGCCCCAGAGACGGCCAGGGAGGCCTTCGAGACGCCCCAAGAGAGCCCCCAGAGAGCCTTCCCACGGGGGCCCCAGGAGGCCAGAGACCCAGACTCCCCTTCGTCTGTTCTGTGATTCTAGCGTTCTCGCCTTTTCGTCCTCCCGACGCTCCAAGATGGCCCAAGAGGCCTCCAAGGTCGCCCCAAGACAGCCCAAGAAACGCCCAAGAGATCCCCCAAAACGCCCAAGACAGCCCAAGAGGGCCCAAGGACAGCCCCAGGAAGGGCCCAAGAGGGGGAACACGAACCAGAAATGCAAGTCTTCTGCCCCGAGACGCCCCCAGGAGGCCCCAAGAGGCCTCCAAGAGGCCCCCAGGAGGCCCCAAGAGGCCCCCAAGAAGCCCCAAGAGGCTCCCAGAAAGCCTTCAAGACACCCCAAGAGGCCTCAAAACGGCCCCAAAAGGCCTCAGAAACTGCCTCCACGAGGCTCCCGAGAGGCCTCCAGCGACATCCCAACGAGCATCCTCGAGGCACATGGCCCACAGCCCAGGCACGGTGGCCGGATGGGCCGAAGGCCACCAAATCCGCCG